TATATTCTATACTATTCTATGTAAGAACAGGCTAGTCAGACATGGGTCCATAAGATTGGACGGCCTGGCTATAGCTTATCATGAAATGAAGAGAGTATGACTAAAAARATATAAGTGAAGGTAAATTTGGGCGGGCTGAGCAACGTTCTAAGATGAGCGGCTCAACCCTATGTCCATTTGGAAGACTAAGTGCAGAGAGGTATATATAACTTGGATATTAAACAGTTAAGGGCGGCTGAGCCTTGTTCTAAGATGAACGGCTTAGTCATATGCCCTAAAAGGAAGAGAGAAGTAGTTGTGCAACCTGTTCGTATATACTCAATGGCTGAGTAAGGCAGGTTCCATAAGATTGGACGACTTGACTTTATGCCCTATGTAAGCTAAGTATAAGGGAATAAGTCATCAAGAGATTACGAACTATTGTCTGCCAAGTTGCCTTGGGGATGGTGAAAGTACTTACCTTTGTGGTTTGRCATTGCGTGTGGCTGAGTGAGGCTCCTACTTGGTTTGAGTTTCAGGTTGACAGGTAGTTGCTTTAGAGGCTCGCCTCGTGCTAGAGCGATAGGAGTTAGTTCAATTTTTGTATTTCYTGAGCTAAGTTTTTTTTTACTTAGATCGATTTTGCATTTTCTGGGATCTTTTGTTAAACTTGGTTTTGTATAAATTTTGGTAAGCTACTTTCTCTACGGGAAGCGCTGCCGAAAKTTTTGCAAATCCAAGGAGTTAGTCAAAATTTGACTTGTCAAAGTTCAACTTGTCTAAAGTTTATAYATGACTTAGTAAAAATTTGGAAAGTCTCATTTTCTAAAGGRAGTGYTGCTCAAAGTTTTGCTAATTCAGGGAGTTARACAAAATTGAACTTTGAAAAGTCAAAGACTATTCTTGGTTTCATATTTGGGCTGATATAAATTATGGAAAGACAGTTTTCCTACGGGAAGCGCTGCCGAAATTTTTCTGATTTAGAGGAGTTAGGTTATATTTTGACAGGTGGCGATTTTGGCAATCAGTTTTCCTACGGGAAGCGCTGCCAAAATTTTTCTGATTTAGAGGAGTTAGGTTATATTTTGACAGGTGGCGATTCTGGCAATCCACCCTAAATAGGGGAGATTCTGCCATTTGTCTACCTTTGCTTTGGGCACTGGCTTAGAAGTAGGCTTAGACTTAGTTGGCAAATAACTTTGAATGAGAGTGTGCTATGGARGTTCATCCCCCATATGCTGATGATTTAGCTTGGGGATTGGCTTGTCATGTGTTATAGGTTCTCTGGACCGTTTGATTCAGGACTTGGACTAGTTTCAGCTTGATCCACAAGGATTATCTTCTGTTATCACTGATAACAGGTCGGTTGCCGATTCATCGGTTTACGATTTATCTCCAATTCACCCCTGCTTCTCAACCTAAAGGCTTTAGCTCTGAGATTTGAATTGTTTTGTTGTGTTTTTACCCTGACTTTATTGAATGGTCATCCAACAAAAGTTTTGAGTATTTAATTAAGAGTTGCACGAGTGAGGCTTGTATGGTTAAAGCGAGGGGTATGAGTGCGAGGAATGGTTGAAGTTGACACCGTGTAGTGCGTGGATTTCTGGTTGAATCTTTGATGTGATTGCAGGTATGGTTGTGGTTCGGACTCGGGATGTGATTGCCTGCGATTTCATACATATATGGCTGAGAGGAGCCTCATTGTGACTGTGAGAAGTGATCGTCCTATATAATTAACCCTTACGTATTTATAAGTGCCCTGAGCATTTGAGAGACCTACTGTGAGTGTGAATAAGGGTTAACTGGATTATGTCTCGAGAGGGAAGGGGAGTTCCCTGTTTACCCTTGCTTTTTAGAGTTTGTATGGTTCGACGTTGTAGTCCGTGGCAGCCGTCAAAGTCAAACCCCTTGACTTCCGCCCAGGTCTGGGGTAGGACTCATCCCCAGGGCCGCAAGAGACGACTGCCACCACAGGTGTGGACCTGTGTACGACCCATTCTGCACAGAGTGCAGAAGAGGGTGTGTGGTCTTCAACCGCGCATGGCGGTTGTCCGGCGTCGAGAGATTAACCCTCAAGGCGCGTGTCAGCCGACACTTGA